GGGCAGATTGCTGAGTCATAGTGTCGGTACGTGTTTAACTTTTATAAGAAACTGCCAAGCTTTTTCATAGTATCTGTATCATTTTACTTCTTCGGCCAGGGCAGCGGGGTGTGCGGGGCGGGAGGGGAGAGGTAGCTAGATTTATTTTTATACGCAGAGAGGCACCAGGGGTTGAACCCAGGGCCTCGTGCATGCTAAGCACACACTGTACCACTGAGCTACACCCTCCCCTGTGTCGTTTTATATTCTCACTACCAAGGTGTAAGCGTCACAGTTGGTCCGCATCCTTGCGACATTTGGTGTTACCAGTCTTTTAATTTTAATAATTCAAGTGGGTAGGAGGTGGTGTCTCAGGCTTTTATTTTGCATTTCCTGGGTGGCCAGTGAGGTGAGGAGCTTGCTGTTTGCTTGTTGGCTCTTCCTATATCTTCATGAATTACTTAAATCTTAGGTCATTTTTAAATTGAGTTGTCTTCTTATTGACTTGTAGGAGTGTTTTTACATTCTGGATATGAGTCCTTTGTCGAACCCATTTTTCCCACACTGTCAGGCTTTTTCCTTGTGTTTTAATGAGCAGTTTTTAGTTTTGACGAGGTCTGATTAATTGTTTTTGTTTTATCAGTAGTGCCCTTTATGTCTCGGGTAATAAGTCTTTGCCTATCCCAAGGTTATGGAGAAATAATCTTCTGGGTATATTTTCTTCTAGAAAGTTAGCTTTTCCCTTTAGGTCTGTGATCTATTTTGAATTAATGTTTTTATATGGTGTGAGATACGGATTAAGGTTAATTTTTTCCATGCGAATATCTACGTGTTCTAACTCTGTTGAAAGGATTTCCTTATTTCCCTTTCCCAGTTGAATTGCATCGAGTCTTTATTGAAGATCAGTTGTGTGTGTGTGTTTCCAGACTCTCTGCTGGACTATTCAAGCAGTCCAAATGTGGTGCCCAGATCACGCTGTCTTAGCTGCTGTTGCTTTATTGTGAATTATGAGATCTTACAGTGTAAGCAAGCCTTCTAGCTCCCTTCTTCTCTGTGATTGTCCTGGCAATTTACGGCCCTTTCACCTTCCAAACATTTTTAGAATCATTTTAGCTCATTACGCTCTATAAAAATCTGCTGGGATTTTGAATGAAATGAAATTGGGGAGAATGGACATCCCCCCTACTGAGTCTTCCAAGTCACAAAAATGGAATATTTCTCTCAGTTGTGTAGGCCTTCTTTAATTTCTCTCAACAGTGGTTTGTGGTTTTCAATGTCAAGTCCATGTACATACTTCATTAAATTTAATCCAATATATTAGATGTTTTATGATGCTCTGTAAATATTGCTATTTTAAATTTTATTTTCAATTTCTTATTGTTTATTGATAGTATGTAGAAAATAAGGTTGATTTTTGTATTTTGACCCTGTATCTTGCAGCCCTGCTCATTAATTCATTAATTCTAATGGCTTGTCAATTGCTTTAGGTTTTCTAAGGGCATAATCTTTGAATTAAGAATACGGGCAGTTTTATTCATTCCTTTCCTGTCATTGTGCCTGTTTTTTTTTTTTCCCTGACTTACTGTGGTTGCTAAGACCTTCAGTGCAACGTTGAGATGTGATGTTGTTTTGATCCTGGAGGGAAAGCTTTCAGTAATTCCCCACTCTGTCCGTGAAGACTTTAAAAACTGTGTCATTATCTCAGCCACTTTCCTTAGTGTTTCCTGCCTTTCTCTTTGAGCTTTTAACATTGCCTCGGGTGCATTTTCTATCTCTTAAAACTTGAGTCGTCAAGATTTGGAAGAAGTTTAAAAAACAGTAAGAGTAGCAGTGGCAGTAGAGGTGGGCGGTGGGCCTTCTGCATCTCCGGGAACTGCCGGCCCCACTGCCGCAGCGCCCGTGTCGGACAGCAGGACTGCACTTCTCCACTGGTCACTCCGCCTGTGGGCAGGGTCATCTCTAGGAAAGGGCCTACTGTCCCTCCTTGAAAGCGGGAGGAACCTTAGCATCGTCAGTCAGCGGGCTCACACGGCGGCTCCAGCCTTCCAAACAGCCAGCCCTTTGCGTTCAAGGGAACTCTACCTGCCTGGCCCTAAACCTGAATTTGGGAGCCGGGGGTTCAGGAGTCCTTGGGCTCTGCATCTCCCCTCCTCCCATTTCCCGCTGCTCCATAGCAGCCGTGCGGGACTGGAAGGGACCACAGCTCAGGGCACGGAGGCCAACATGCCGGTGTGACCTGGACGGCTTGAGGGCTGTGGCTTTCCTGGCCTCAGAAACCCATGAGTAGTATTGGAAGCTGGGGCAGGAAGACAGGGAGGAAGGAAGCGCCACAAATCGGTCCCCAGTCACCAGCCACGTCAATGAGCAAGTGGCACCAACACCGAAAGCTGCATCTGGCCCCTGAGGGCAGGTGTGGGACACTGAACTGGAAGAGAGGCTGCAGCCTGGTGTTGGGCGGCCTGGGGTGTCTGTTCCTCCACAAGCGAGAGTCGTCAATCAGAGCACTTACAGGATGTAGACCCGGACTCCACTTAGTTTGGGACTACTGTGAAAGCGCCCCCCTGGCCCCTTTGGTTCGGGCTTAGGGGTCGGGGGTGGACGGGAGACCTGGAGTGTTAGCTCCAGGCGCGGGCAGAAGCGCGGTGCCGGAGGGCTGGCAGGAAATGCCGTTTGTGAAGCATTTTCTGTGCAATAGCTCATTTACAACATCCCCCCATTGTTCTGTCTTTTGTCTCTTGATGTCTAAGACTTTTTTTTTAATTGAGGTGTAGTTGCTGTACCATATTATATGTTTCAGGTGTACAACATAGTAATTCACAATTTGTAAAGTTTATGCTCCTTTCATACTTAAGATGAAGCATTGGCTCCGTTCCCTCTCTGTGCTCTACACACTTGCGGCTGATTTATTTTATACATAGACGTTTGTACCTCTTACTCCCCTGCCCCTATCTTGACCCTCCCCTCATTTAAATCTTGAAAGCCCCCTTGTGAAGTGGGTATTATTTTTCTTTTACACATAAGTAAACTGAGGTTCAGAAAGGTTCAGTGCCTTGCCCCGAGTTCACAGGCCGACTGTAACAGTCAGGCTTTGGATCCAAGTCTGCCTGACTTCAGGATCCGCGCTCCTAGTTACTTTAATATACTGCTCTTCTGAAGTGGTTTTGGCTTAGGGGCTCACCTTACTGGGGAGGCTTCCAGCCGCCCTCTTTGGGGTTCCTCATTTCCTCCCGAATTCCTGGGACTTTCCCTTAATCACCTTCACTTTCATGGCTAACCCTGGTTCAGTTGACCGGTGCACCCTCCCCAAATGCACCAGCTGAAATAAGGAACTGAAGAGTCACCTAGACCTCAAACATGCCTTCGGTGACATGTGATCACCTCTAATGTCAGCCCTGGGAAGTACGCACTGTATTTCCAGCCTGTGCTCGGGGCTTTTGTGTACAGTTGTGCAGGTGGTATACTGCACAAATGCTACCCTTCCGGGGAGTGAGTGGAGACCAAAATCTAGCATGAGCTCTGCTTAGCAAGCTGCACGCCTGGAGGAAGGGCACAAAGGCACAGGGTAGGCTAATGGTGGTCCTGACTGCTAGAGCGGCTGGGGGCTAAGTCTTGCCTTTGGGGAATTTCCTTATCTTTTCTGAGTTGTATTCCCATGAAATGATGGAAGCCGGGGCTGCTCGGTTACTAAGAATCACAAAAATATCAGTGTTCATGAAGATGTGTATATTAAAATCATGAATACATTGTCACACTTGACTGGCAGCGTACACTTTGTTTATATGTGTACCTGTAAGTTAAAGCCGGATCGTGGCCTTTTCCCTTGCTGGTGTTCCAGTGCGCTTCCCTGAGGTGCGGAGGAAAGGTGGGAGTTTGTTGGCTCCTTGAGAGCTCCTGTGCCCGTGGATGTCACACGTCACCTGTCCAGGACTGTGGCAGAGAAAAGGCTCTCAGGCGGTGGACCCGGAAAGCAAACAGTGGTAACTCGGCCCCTTGCCCACCTCTGGTTCCTGTCTTCTCTTCTGGTGTCTCTCGGCTTTGTTCCTGAGACTCCATGACTGCCTTCATTCATTTTCCTTTTAATTGAGTTGAATTCGTATAACACTGACCTTTTTAAATGTACAGTTCAGTGACATTTAGTACATCCGCAGTGTTGTGCAACCATCACCTCTATCCAATCCCAGAACAATTCATTGCTCCCAAAGGAGGCTCTGCATCCCTCAGGCAGTCACCCTTTGTTCCTCTTACCCCCAGCCCTGTTGGCCTCTAATCTGCTTCTGTCTCAGTGGATTTACCTATTGTGGATCGTTTGTATAAACAGATTCAGGGACTGTGTGACCTTTTACGACTGGCTCGTTTCACTGAGCGTAACGGTTTCAAGACTCGTCCACATTGTAGCGTGTTATCAGCGCTCTGTTCCTTTCTGTGGCTGAACAATATTCCATCCTATGGGACAGACCATGAGTTGTTTGTCTGTCCATCTGTGGACACACTTGGGCTGCATCCGCCTGTGGCTGTTGTCTCCCGTGCTGCTGTGAACGTTGGGGCAGAAATACTTGTCTTGACCCCTGTTCCCAGTTCTCTTGGTTGTACGCCTGGGAGTGGAATTGCTGGGTCACATGGTAACTCTCTTTTCTTTCGAGGAACCGCATTTGTTCATTCTCCTCGAGCCCAGAGCCCGGTGGTGGCCTCTTCCTGCCATGCTTGGCCTCCCACCTCCATCCTCACATCTCCCCTGGTCCCCACACTGGGAAGCAGACCTTTTATTCTTCCTGTTCTCATCTTGAGCGTTCCCAAGGCCGGTGTCTTGCCGAGCTGTTCTTGGTAGAGCTTGCCCGGCATCCCCTGTTGCTCCGCTCGGGCCCAGCAGGGCAGCCATCTGCAGTGTCTGTGGTTCCTGCCCTGAGCGCTTCCTACCGTCCAGTCCCTGTGATCCTCAGCCCCCCCCACCACCCCGGGTACAGTGCACACTAGGCTTCTTCGCCCCTTCCTGCCTGCCCCCTCCACCTGGGCGCCCACCCCAGGTTTCCTGGGCAGCGACCGAACAACGAACAGGCCTGCCTCTCCTCCTCCAGTGTTGTGCGTGCCCCCCACCCCCCGCCCCGGCCACTGGCCGAGTCCTCGGAGCTTCTTCCTGGGCTTGGTAACACCTTGGCAGTGCCCCTCAGCTGACCCGGAGAGAGATCGCCTTTCCTCCTGTTTGATGCCTCTTCTGGGTCCGGCCATTACGCTGCTCACGCTGACAGGTGGGTTTGAATGAGCCGCTGTCCTCCCCAGCCGCCCTTTCCACCCAAGTCCAACTGCCACCCGAAGACTAGACACTGCAGACTGCAGGTCACTACGAGGCCGCACTCTGCTGGCCTTGGAGGCTCCAAGCCAGCGCCCCTGGCACACATGCACTCGGGCCGTGGTGAACTTTAATAGCTACATCCGTGGCCCTCTAAACGCTGACCTCCTGACTTTATTTTGTTCTTGATACAGCCCCTGTGTTTTGGGGGGAGGAGGTTATTAGGCTTATTATTTATTTGTTATATTTAGAGGCGGCACTGGGGATGGACCTCGTGCGTGCTAAGCATGCAGCTCTACCACTTGAGCTAGGCCCTCCCCCCAAGTCCTTGTGTTTTGTTTTTGTTTTGTCCACACTCCTGTTGCTGGTTTTTGATGCGCTCTCAGGAAGCAAGGTTCCCTACACGTGTGAGACCGCAGGCCGGGGTAGGATGGAGAGGCAGGTGTGGCTGCGGTGGCACTGATGGAAAAAGAAGATTTCCTGATTGAAATAACAAACCGAGGGGAGGCGGGTGTGTGGGGCTAGGTTAGAAGATCCCAAACAGCAGTGTAGGGGTTTGCCTTGATAAGGCAACACTTATCCCTGCCTGGATGTTCCCAAGTCCGTCCTTGAAGAGGCCCCTCCCAGCCGCTGGACGGCCGGGCGCGTGTTGCCCTGCCTGTGCGGCACCTCAGCAGTGGTGTCCCCTGGACAGCGGAGCTGGGGACACAAATAAATGGCAAGTCAGTGAATCCAGGGACCCAGCAACAGAGCTTTGATGTGGTGGGAAGACGCAGAATCTGGTAGGGGTGCTCTGATCAGGGCCCCGAGACCCCAACAATGTGAAATCTGAGGACAGGACGTTTTGGGGGCTGGGACTGGTGTTCTCCCTCCAGGAGGCTCGAGTTGGTGGGGCCGGCGTCATGGGAGTTGCCTGCCTGGCTGTGGTCTTTCTGACCCTTTTACGTTTAGCTCAGGGGTGGGGAGGCTAAAAAGTTAAGGTCCAAGCAGGTGACTTGAGTCAAGGAAGCAGGTCACAGGGCAGAGGCACACTGTGTGGGTGTGAGGATTGACCAAGGGCAGAGGGAGCCGTCAAGTAGTCCTCAGCCGGCTGGGGTTCCTTGCTGCCTCGGTCATACACCTTGTCCCACCCCCAGGAGGGACTGAGGCCTCCCCAGAGGCCGAGAGCAAAGGCCAAGGAGAGGAGGAACCTGAGCATCTTGTTGGGTTTCAGGATAAACCAGACACACAGGGTGAGGCTTGGGTGTCCTTCCAGGAGGGGAGATCCTGTCCGGGCAGATGAACCTGTTTATGGCCATCACATCCCCTCAGGGCACGGGCCCAGCTGGCCTGCCCTGTGTGAGCCACCTGTCCACGGGGCTGCCTGCGTCCTGAGCGGGCCCCCAGCACCCCTGCCCTGTCCTCATCAGAGCTCTGGCCGCAGCAGCTGTCGCTGGCGGGCCCCTGTCCTGCCCCTCTGCCCGCAGCCACCCTCACGCCCCGGAGCTGCAGTGCGGGGCCTCCCTCACATGGAGGACATGGTGGCCCAGCCCTGGGGCTCTGCTCCCAGTGACTTGGAAGATGGCATCAGGGTATGAGGCCAAGACATGAGTGCAAGGGGTCAGCAGGAAGGGGAGAAACCAGTGGGAGGAGAGGAAGTGACCAAAAAGCCTCAGGAAGAGAGGCTGGGACAGAGCCGGGGAGGGAGATCGAGTCCAGGGAGGCGGTGGAGAGGTGAAGGGTGTTCCCAGCCAGACATGGAGAGTGTGACAGTCCTTCCTATCATTTCAGGAGGGGTGACATCTTTCCTTTTTGTTTAAACAAGTTCCTGAGTAGCAAGTCCTCAACTGAGGCAGTGACTCAACGAGGCAGGTGCTGGGGCGGTCTGGGCTTTGCCTGGTTCCCAGCAGTGAGATCCTGGGGTTGGAGGGAGTGTGCGGTGACTCACAGACCGTGGCCTGGCCCACCTTGCTCTCTCCCCTACACACCTACCACCGCCTACCCAGGGGCACACCCCGCCATCTCAGCGTCCTCCGCCCTGCCTCCCCACCTCCTCCCTGCGACTGCCCCCCGGGAGCCGGAACTTCGCTGTGGTCGGTGGTCAGATCCTCCTTGGCTCTTGCACAAAGTGTTTTCCTGCCTGTGTCTCAGATTTCTGATCTGTAAAGTGAGCCTCGGGTCACTGCTCACTCCTCCTTGCTGCTCGGAGCCGTGAATGAACGTCTGTAAAGAGCTTGGAGCTTGTCAGATGGAAGGTTGGCCAGACTCGGCTTCTGTGCACTGCCCCCCAGCAGCCCTGCCCCCTTCCTCACCGCCTACCACGCAGACCGACCGGCCCCCGATGGTCGCAGACCCCTGTTCTCCAGCCTCATCCTGCTCACCTCCGCAGCATCTGGTGCCGCCAGCCACCTGCGTCCTTCTTTTCAAAATGATGAAAGTAACGTGTACCTGCTCACTGTTTAAAAAAAGGAAACGACAGAAAGAAAACCCAACACTGTAGACTTGAATTTAAGTAAAATATAAAAATCACTAGTCCTCTGGCCTCTCCCATATAATCACGAGACGCATCTCAAATCCAGCCCCCGTGTCTCCAGCCCTTCTCTGAGCATTTACAGGATTCACATACTATGTGTCTGTTCGCGCTCACCCGAGGTCAGGGACTGCCCATCTCGGTGTGTCTTCACTGCTGGGCGCAAGGCCAAGCCTGTGGCCGGCCTCTGTTGGGTATCTGTTGGAAGAGTAAATGGAGGCAGGAACGACTTAGTTAATAATAAGGAAAGTGGACTCGCATTCGGATCGCTGCTGCTTCCCTGTTGGGCAAAGCTCAACTTCTTCACCCTTAAAACTGGGAAAAGTAAGTACAGTGCTTGTGACAGCGCCAGCCCAGTGCCTGGCACACACACCGGGAGCCTTCAGTAAACACTGCTGGGTCAGATTCTAAAGAGACCCTCTTGCCCTACTTCCTCCACAAATCTGGGCCTGCCCCCTGCGGCTGAGCTCCCCCAGTGCAGGGCCTGGGCTGCCGGCTGCTAAGAAGGGGGTGAGAGTTTGCCCGCTGCCCACGGAGAGCTTGTGGTTGGGCTGGGATGATGTGGCCATGCCCCACCCAGTGGAGCTGAGTGCGAGTCAGAGGGAAGAGAGCTCGGGGAGTGGGTGTGGTGGTGGGGCTGGTGGTTTGGGAAGGGTGATGAGTGAGCATCAGGCCAGCGTTTACAGATTCAGACAGGACGTTCCATGCAGAGCAGCTGTCTGACATCGCCTGCCACCTTTCCCCAGATCTTAGCCGATCCTTCTGTGTCAGGGACTCAAACTGTTTTCACCGTGATCCTCAAAAAAGACACATGTTGCGTGGCCAGTACAGACTCACACTTACCTTTAGACGCAACGGGGACAGGCTCACCCCACAGCACTCCCTCCAGCCGCGGGGGCACCTGACTTGTCGTCACTCTGAAGACCTTGTTTGTGTCCCACTCACTTGACTTCATGGGCCACTGATGCGCTGTGGTCCTCAGCTCAGAGCACATGGCCCGGCTCGTTGCCTCCCCTGGGAGTCTTCTTTCGGTTCTGCTCTGCCTGAGCTTTGTGGCCCAGGATGCTCGGCCAAGGGGACATCTAAGCCTGCCTTGTACTGTCAGCGGCCTTACAGCCTCAGGCCAGGCGCACAGCCCTTAGATCGTGAGCTTTTAGCATCCCTGCCTGCCCCCAGCGTGCAGGAGGATGAACCTGCCGCCCAGCAGCCGAAGACAAGGACGCGGCCACGCCGTCACCCCCAGCACTGCCCTCCATCCTCGCCCTCCTTCAGGCCCCCAGCTCAGTGTCCTGTGCTGCCCCAGGGAGAGAAGGAAAGCTGGAGAAAGGCCACTAGAGAAGAAGGGATGAGCTGGGAAGGAGAGGAGCGGAAGAAAGCCAGGAGTGCAGACAGACAACGGGCCACGCTGCCCAGAGCCTTGAAATCCAAAAGCTGCCGGGAGGCCGTGAGTTCTAGGAGGAGAAGGAGGCAAGCAGGGGGTGTCCAGGCACAGCTGTAGAATCTGGGCCGAGGACGGGGAGGGCCCCAGGACGGGACGCCCTGTGCAGATAAGGGAGAAGCAGCTGAGACCGTGGGCAGAACTGGTGTCCTGGCCGCTCTGGGCTGTCCCCCGCTTTGTGCCAGGCAGCGGGTCATTGACCGAATTACCACGTGCAACGACGAGCTTGGGCCGCGAGGAAGCGTAGACCTTGTAACAAAGACCGCTGTTGCGTTCGGTTATGCCTGAAATCACGTTTACTTCATGTCGGGAACTCGCAGGCAGGGCTGGTGTGAGTTGATCTTGGCGCCTTTGCCCCCCCACCGTGGACCTCAGAGCATGAGTTTTATTATATATATATATATATTTGATGGGTTTTGTTTTGTTTTCATTGATTCTTGTGACGTTCTGGAAAGGGCAGGAGTTATTACTCTAGAACACAAAACTTAAACAGAAAGTGGCTCTCCGCTGAAGGGTGAGCACCAGAACCGGGGTGAAAATCTAGGTCTGATTTCTAGATCCAAGACTCTGTCTGCCTTGAGCGCCAGGGCTGGCGCGGCCACGGCGTGGGCGTGGGTAGCTGGGCTTAGATTTACCGCCTCCAAGGGGCCGCTGCGGGTTGACGCCGGTCAGTTCTGGCCGCTCCGACGTTCCGAGCCCACGGAGGACGTGCCAGGTGGTACTGTATTAATTTTTATCTGTTGGTGCTTTTGGAAAAGACTGATCTTTGCCCTTCGTATTCACCACAGGGTTTCGCAGACGCTCTGTGCTGTGTAAGCGGTGAACTAGCTGGGTATCTGGTAGCCCGGCTTTGACTCTTCTAGAATAAATTAACGTCGGGGAGAGAATAGAGGGGAGGGCGGGCAACCCCACGCTGCCCTCCCCCAGGGGCCCAGCAGTGGCACCAGCGTCCTTTCCCGTTGTTCCCGCTGCAGCCTCCAACCTCGGAGCCCGAGAGCCCAGCCGGGGACGGCAGGGCACACCTACAGTGTCCTCTCACCCGCATTCTTCTTGGATTGCAGAATTTCTTTGGATAAACCCCAAATCGATTAAGCATCGGCTCTTGCTGAAATTTCCCCGGGGGAGAAACTTGTCCCCATCCTTGGGTTGGGCTTTGGCCATGCCTGACCTTTCTCATGCTGTCTCGCCCCATTTTCAGAACGTCCTCCCTGGAGGAGAGCCTGTCCCCCGCCCCGCTTCATTGTCGTGGGGGCCGGGACCGTGAAGACCCGTGTTTCACATTAACCAGGTCCAGGACTGCTATCTTCAGAGAGACAGGGGTTGAATGGGTCTGCCTCTCAAGTCGCCCGGGCATGTGGAGTTGACGGGAGTCTGGGGAGGTGGGTGGGGAGCTGGAGCATCTCCTGTGAAGAGCCCTCCTTCGGTGCCTGGTGGGAGGGCTGCCGTTTGCAACCCCGTCCACCTTTTGTTGTCTTCTTTCATTTGTATAGATTTGAGCCAGTTAAGCACCAGCCAGTCCTCTTCTCATAAATCAGACTGTAACCCAATTTCCCTTTCATTTTTTTAGCCTCTAAAACTGCCCAGGTACAGTGTCCCTGAAAAATTCTGTTAAGTTCGGAATTTTTATTTTTAGCCAATGAAGCATTTTAAATATTATTTAGGGGTGGGGGGCTTTATTATTTAAAGGACCCCATGATGGATCTGCCAGCAACGTGAAGTTTCCATTTGTGTGTGCTAATCATCAAATCACAGGAGGTAACATTTGGAACATCCTTAAATGTCATCATTTGATAGAGAAGAAAACTGAGGGTCAGAGAGGTCACAGAGTGGGAAGACTCACACCCCAGCCTCCTGACAACTGCCCCAGTGCCCTTCCCGTCACAGGGCAATGGCACAGTTTTCCAATTTTGATTCCGCTCTATTTTTAATTTCCTTCCCTTTTCTTCTGCTTAAAAAAAAATTTTTTTTAATTCAAAAGCATGGAATGCAGTGTCTCCCCAGAGGCAACCACCCCAGAAGTCTGACATGCCTTCTCAGTTTTGTCTGTGCCTAGATGAACCCCTGTATTTAGAGACAAAAGTGCACTTTTCAGAAAATCTTTTATTTTAGAATAGTTTTAGATTTACCAGAAATCGCACAGGTGGGGTGAGGGGCTGTCGTGTGGCTCACAGCTGGCCCCCTCTAGGGCGAACGTCTCTGTCAGTTGTGAGGGCACGTGTGTCATGATTAGTAACCTGTTACTTATTGATTATCATGATTCCAGCTGAAGTGCATACTTTATTCTGATTTCCTTTCCGAGGCCCCTTTTCTGTTCCGGGGTCCCGTCCATATCACCCCATGGCTTTTAGTCACCGTGTCTCCTTAGGCTGTGACAGATGTAAATATCTTTTTTGCTCACTGCACTTTTGTGGTATTTGTGGCAACTTTCCCCCACACAACTCTGATGGGAACATCTTTTTGGGTCTGTGAGTGAGGCCTTCCACCTTCTTTGTTATTGCTGGGGGGGGGTGATTAGGTTTGTTTATTTATTTATTTATATTTATTGTTTGTTATTTTACTTATTTCACTCCATGCACGCTAAGCATGCACCCTCCCACTTGAGCTATGCCCTCCCTCTTGCACACTTTCTAAACCACCCTGGGTCGGCGGCCCCGCCTGGAAGTGTCAGGGCCTCCGGGCTGTCTCATGAGTCGGACGCTTCCTGCCGCCTTGCAGTCTGGACACCACGGGAGGCGGAGGACCAGGATGTCAGTGGACTGACGGGGCTCAGAGAAAGGAACCCAGAGTCTGCGGTGCCCCGGCACCCCGCCCTCGGGTGTGAGTGAGGGTCTGCACCGCTGGTCCGCACGTTCCTGTGTGAGGGTTGGGCTTGCCCTGGGAGGTCCTTCAGAAGGAGAGGGCGGGGACCACACGCGCCGGGTGTTTCCAGCAGCAGCCTGGTGGCCGCCCGTCCGAGAGCTTGAGGGGAAGGTTGGTATTAACCTGTGAAAGGAATTTCTGGTGATTATCAATGATTGCTGGAAAAGAGCCGAAACATTACGTAGCCCAGGTCCCAGCAGTGGGGGTAGAATGTCTCCTCTGTCGGCCTTGCCTCTCTTCCCCTCAGCCCCAGGCTGGACCTCGGGTGGACGTCCTGTTCATACTAGTTGATGGAAGCTTCCAGATCTGTCACATGGTCTCTGGCGCCTCGGAAGGGCCTGCACGTATTTTGAAACAACTTTTGTTTGGGATTTCACCTGTTTCACTGAGATTTCTTCCCCTGAGGATGGCCTGTGAAACTTCACAGCCTCTGATCAGCCTTAAACCATCCCCTTAAACATGCACCACCACGCTCACCACCTCAGCCCTGGCCTTTCCCTCTGACCTATGACCTTTCCCTTCACAGGCCCCCGTAGCAGAGCTGCCCCTGTTCTGCCCCCAGCCAGGGATTACAGACGGACTTCTTTTAGGGCTGACCTTCTCCGGCTTGGGGCTTAAACCCGAGTAAGGAAGAAACAGACAACCGTCTTTGTCTCCTTCCACCAAGCCCCCCAGCCGGCTGCCCACACTGCGAAACAGAATAAGTCGTTTCTCAGAAGGTGGGGGTGGTCCTTCCCTCCCACGCAGCCCAGGGAGGCTGACAGGACTGCGCATGACCCACGCAGGGCAGAGGACCAGTCTCTGCTAAATGAAATAAAATATAAATTAAAGATAAATAAAATGAAACAGTGGGGCCGCTCCACCGGGAAAGGTGGAGACCACACTGGTTTTTCTTACCTGATGGGGAACCTCTGCCAGGTCCCA